TGTGCCTCTCATGGTTTATTCTCCTTGCAGTGTTATATTTTACAATTAACAACGACCACGATATCTGCATGCAGTGCGATCTGAATTCATAAACCACAGCCATTTTGTTCAAAGACTTATTTCTTCTGCACATGCTCAGATTTAGATTGTTTTACTTCCGGGTGAATCCAACAGCTGGGGGTACAGCGCAACATGGTTGAGAATAAATTAACTAACACAATTGCCAACAACAGTGCAGGAAGAAATGAAAAAAACCACCAAATCTAGCCGTTTCTCATGGCAATATTTGAGAAAAGTCAACATGGTCTGCTGGCATTTTGTTCATCTGACGATAAACGGAAATCTACTGACAAGGTTGGCTTTAGGACGACGGTAAATGCCAGCACACCACTCAGGATAAAACTATATATGCTCGTCAAAACAATTTAGGGAACACTGATATTTTGTAGCACTGTTCATTCGATTCCTTTTAAATTTGGTAAATGGCCTCCTAATCGGCGGCTAACGTACTGATATTAAAGAGTACAATTACTCAAGTGACTTCATGACCAGAAAAAAGAATTTGAAATCATACTGGACTCGTCAACGTTCATTTTGACCAGCACTCGTTTTCATGGAAATTTTTATAGTAATCTCCTCCTCACAGCTGCCGTAAAAATGGAGATCATGCATTTTCTCACTTATTCCTATGAAGCACGAGCCACAAGTTATTTTTATGGGAAATTTGGGTTGATAAAGGCAGGTCGCTGTGAAACTGTATCACTGTGTTCAACATGCCACAACGTCGACACCTCACGATTGAAGAACGAGCCAGAGCCATTGTGTGGCTAAATGAGAATGTTTCACAGCGGGAAGCTGCTTGAAGGTTAAATGTTAGTCCATCCGTCATTTGCAGATTACATCAGCGATTCCAACAAACACAGACAGTACATGATAGACCAAGGTCAGGACGCGCTCGTGTGACAACAGGAAGACAAGACCGGTACGTCGTTATTGAAGCATTGAGGAGGAGAACAGTCACAGCAAACCCTCTTCGAAGGCAACTGAGGGCTGCTACAGGAACAAATGTCAGTGACCAAACCATAAGAAACCGTATGAAGGAAAGAAACATCAGGCCCCGACGTCAAGCCGTTAAAACCGCTTCTTCTTCCGCGTCACAGAGCAGCCAATGACACATGGGCACGGCAACACCGACAGTGGACAAGACAACAGTGGTCAGCAGTTCTTTTTCCTAACGAATCTCGGTTCTCACTGCAGCATAATGACGGTCGTGTTCTTGTCTACAGACGCCGTGGGCAACGTTTTGCTGACGTCAACGTCCGTGAGCACAATCGTTTTTGGGGGTGGTAGTGTCATGGTGTGGGCAGCCTTCTCATTTCACAGAACCAATCTGTACGTCATTAACGGGAATTTGAATGCTGTTCGCTACAGGGATGAGATTCTAAGACCAATGGTGATTCCTTGTCTTCATCAAATAGGCCCACAGACGGTTTTCCAGGATGACAATGCTAGACCTCATCGTGCACGCATAGTCACTGACTTTCTGGGACAAAACAATGTTACTCGCATGGATTGGCCAGCATATTCTCCTGATATGGCACCCATTGAACACGTATGTGATCTGTTAACGAGACGTGTTAGGGAGAACCACCCTCCACCTCAAGATCTGCGCCAGCTTGCTCAATGGCTGAGTTTGGAGTGGCATGCTATCCCACAGAACACACTACATACATTAGTGACATTCATGAGGCGTCGTTGTGTTGCATGTGTGGCTGCTAGGGGCGGACACACTCGTTAATGACTTTTCTCTCATGGCCTGGATTTCCAATTTTGACCCCAGTGACATTATTGACATCAACTCTTGTTCACGTTATGAAATGTAGTGGATTTATCATGATTCTTTCTTACTGTATACTCGGTCATTATTGAATTTACTACACGTCGACGTCTTCTGTTCCTTTTTTATTTTAAGTGCAAACATATCAGTGTTCCCTTACTCCTTTTGAGAAGTATATAAAGTTGTTTGACCAGGGTTACAACACTCAAGGCCTCAGTTAATCTTATAAAAAAGACATGTGGACCAATAAAAGAGGCAAACCCTTTCCATGTTGTTACGAAATCTCTGCTAGAGTCGACTGTACGAGTCCGAATATATCATGAGCATGACTTTAATGTTTCACTATTATTACCGTAAAGGTGTGAATATCATGCTTCACTGGTGGTAAATTGTTCACTTGTAAAATAAATTATCTGGAGTCAGTGCCATAGGAAATAAAAGTGATGATCCAGGCTATATTAGAGTTCACGAGAGCTAGTTCAGAAGAAGGTTGCACTGTTGATGACACAGTTGATAAATATTCCAGTGAGTGAAGTTATATATGATATCCGTGTCAGTCATCTACCCTGTCGATTAAATAAGGAAAGATATTTTAATGTCAATATTGTTGATGGAAGATTGTCGGATGAGTCGGGTGAATTTACTTCTTTCGGATCAGACGGTTTTACAACCCTTGATTATATGTGCGCTGTATCTGCCTTGTTTAAATAATAATTTTTTTAAAAATAATTAATTTTTTTTGAACATATTTTAAAAAAACATGGCACCAATAAAAAATGATTACAAAGAGTTTTGGAAATTAAATTGAAGAAAATGAAGTGAAAAAAACAGTTAAAAATAATATTACAACTATTAAGTGGCAAGAGTGCTTGAAACAATTTCCAAATCCTACAGGGGATGACGAAGGCGACAGTCAATTTCCAATCCATATTCGCGAGATTTTGCATGATTCATGTATTTCGCGTTCAAGCCCTACGGCCAAATTGTTAAGACTTTCAAATATCCTGTAAATGATGGATTACCGCCAGAACATATACACAATATAAATGTTACAACACAATATTGAACGACATTTTTCAAAGAAAATCTACTATAAAGGTTACTACCCAAAATCCATTATTGTTCCTTTATCAACAAACGATAATACATAACATCGCAATAATTACAGAAGTTTCTCACTGTTGAATACAATGAGTAACATCTTTTGATCCATCCTGAATAAATACATTTGTGTAAACGTAACAGATTATTGGCGAATATAAAGGGTATTTTATAAAACTCATACACAAGAAGAAGTAAATAGAGATTTTATGGTAACTTTATTGATTTTATAAAAGCGTTCCATATGGTTGACAGAAGTTTGTTTTATTATCTTCTAAATAATAATGTACATGGCAAATTCTTCACAATAACGTAAGTATATATATATAAGCACTTTATACTAGCGGTTGCACTTCAAAATGGATATTAGTTGTCTGAATAATTCTTTAGCAAAGCTGGTTTTATGCGTTGGGGGAAACAACAAACCAACCAACAACCGTACATAATGGAGTCGGGATCAAGCCAAACCAATGGCCCAAAATAGTATCTTACAATTAAACTTCTTTCCATACAGCACGTCCTCCCTTATGTGTCGATGTATAGTTGTCAATCGATACATGACCTGCACGATGCTTCAGTGTATGGTACAAGCCCAGATTATTTGATGAATGTAATCAAAACAAGAGTTTGCCACTAACGTGGCTATATCCCCCCGCCCCTGTTGCAGAATTTATGACATAAATAAATCTTAACAAACCCTTAACCTTTTTTAACCGAGGTGGAACTTGTCATGGAAATTGTATTAAAAAAAGAAGAGTTTGGAACCTAAGTCCATCCTTCTTGCTATGGAAACGTAAAAAATAAAGATTTCTAAAATTTCTAAATAGCAAAAGGCACCAGTTCAGAATGTACCTGACAGTCCTGCAAAGTTTAATGAAAAAAACATTGAACGGTTTATGAGTTATGCTCCGGAAACGAACCCTACCCTCACATAACCTAAGTCCATCTTGTTGCCATTGAAACGTAAAAAATAAAAATTTCTAAAATTTCTAAATAGCCCAAAGGCACCAGTTCAGCATGTACTTGACAGACCTGCAAAGTTTCATGAAAAAATATTGAACGGTTTCTGAGTTATGCTCCGGAAACAAAACGTGACGGATGGACGGACGGACGGACGGACGGAGCCCGTTTCTATATCCCCCGCCAACTTTGTTGTTATTTAAACATGTATACACTGACAAACAAAAGTAACTGAGATCGTATTAATTACTTAAAATGATTACCTATTGTGACATGATATTTATGACTTTCGTGGTTGATCACTGTGTACGCGTGTACACAACAAAGGAACTATCAACACACACCAGGGTCACTTTGAAACAGTAGGGTATTAGGGAGACAAGAAAATCAAAATGCTAGTATATAAATACTGATGGAAATGAATAAAGTAACAATGAACAATGGTCAATAATAATAAGCTTTACTGTTAGTAGATTTCGATAAGGGCGCATACAAGTTCAACAACTGTCAGAATCAAATGTTGAGATGTGTTTGTGTGCAATGTTTCCCACGTGTATTTGGCAGACAAGGCTTGAACCCATGATAGCATATCATTGTACTGTGTCTAAAACTATGTGTTCCCTTATTCATTTCCTAAAGTCTATTTCTGGTGTGACATGAAAATAACCACATATTTATACATAATCTATGTACATTTCCTGTATTTATTGCTGGGTAGAATGAAAAGAAAACCACTTCCTTAAGCACATGTAGTCAGTTTCATCGGAATTAAATAACAGTACACTACAATGTCTTCAATGCATTAAGCAAGAAGAATTAATTAATTAAGTGACCACAATTACTTTGTTTTTGGGTACATATAAATCAGACTAATCCCATGTAATCCTGTGAACACAGGTGCAGTACATGATCCTAGTTTCCGTTTTGTTTTGTTGTACTGTATATAAAGAAAACATTTTGCAACATCACAACCAGCAGCCGTAATACTTCTGGAACAATATGGCTGCCCTCAGGCAAATCACCATCTGCCTAATACAAACTTGCTTACACGTTTCCATGGCAACGGAAAGAATATTGATGTTTTACATCTGAACATGGTGTATGCTTTAGATTACCGCCTGGTGGACTGTTGTGAATGTGTCATTGTCATCTATTGATATCTGTCTCAGCACCGTGATGCTTTCTACTGCCCTGCAAGCTGTACCACGCACAATCTGGGTCATATGTATGCGATGTTCGTGAATTTGTGAACGTATTTTGTGATTTGCTCCGACACGATACACGATAGACCCAACTGCATCCATCAAAATTAAACACAAGTGAAGATGTATGTGTTTCACCACAGAGAGATGACGGAACAGTGAAGGTTTATACATTTTTGTCCCGAAAAACCATTGGACGGTAGCATGGCAGTCGGGAGATAATAATATATAAATCATATCGGTGGTTTTTTTAAAACAGATAACCATATGTGAATAAGTAACGAAGTTGGGCCAACTCTTTTCGTTAAATTATTTCAGTTTCCCTGTTTCGAAATATTTACAACAAAAATAACACAAGTTCAAATTCTTGATCAGTTGTGTATATCAGTGCCATTAGGGTATCTACTTGAGCAAGGCCAGCATGAAGGACAGCACTGAGAACAGCACGAGGAGAAGTGAAGGCGGGGAGGTACAGGCGTCACAGGCAGCAGGTTTCCCGAGCTTCTCCACTTCTGCCAGGACATCTCCAGTTCTCTTCGGACAGGAACCATAGGCTGTCTTAATGCAGCTCACAGACAGCTGCGATAGACTGAAAATGCCAAGATTAAATGGGACAGGCTCAGTGAGGATGTATTTTCGAAATATCTGAAGATCAGGATGGCCAAATTCTCACGTCCTCATTTTTCTTACATTTCGAAATTACTATCATACATTAATCAAGCGGTGCTTTATGAATTTGTGTTATAATTTTTGTCTACTAAATCCAGAGATAAACAGTGATGCAGTCACACATGTATTCAACTGACACAGAACAGAGTGATATTCGAGTGCCTTTTTATGCATTCTTTCAATATTCTATAGCACATTTTGAAATACGTTTTGGGTATACCTGCAGATGGTTGCGAGGTATCCATCAGGCGTGGAAGAGTCAGAACCTCCTTTGTAGCCAGCCAGCACACAGTTCAGCAGGGTGGTTGACCTACCAGTTTCTGCCAGACATGTATAGTCCACATCTGAAAAAATACACACTCAGAGGTTCAGATCAACACTGACGGTCTGACTGACTGAAGCGTACATAAAAGGTCTTACAGGGGGCATAACGCAACGTAACTTCAATGTCACAAGTTTTATATGTACAAGTAAATAGCAACATCTGTGATTTTGCTAAGACTGTGATATTTTTACAAGTGCTTGTTTACATTTTGTAAATACTTATTTCGTAACAATAAATAATAGAACCTAACCCTAACCCTAACTTACCCCAACCCTAACCCTAACCCTAACCCTAACCCTAACCCTAGCCCACTAACATGATGCTGCAACGTAAAGGCCAGTCTTTCAAGCACAGTTACCGTTTATGTTGTTACACAAGTAGTCGAGTGCCTTTTTTGTCTGGTCAAGGGATGGGAATGCTCTTTGCCAGGCAGATGGAATGCAAGGCAGGATCTTGTCATATAAACATCCATAGAAGTCGAAAACAAGTGTCTTGGTCCTGGAAAAGTGTACGCATGTATTACTCAACAATGCCGCGGATGGAAAATGAAAATACAACATCCAACTGCCATTCAATGGAACACCTGACAACACACTCAATCACCATGGACACGACCGTCACTGGCTACTGTACAGAGTGAGACAGCTACAGTAAACAGTGAGACTGACAACTATACAGAGTGAGACCAACTACTGTACAGAGTAAGACCGGCTACTGTACAGAGTGAGACTGGCTACTGTACAGAGTAAGACCGGCTTCTGTACAGAGTAAGACCGGCTTCTCTACAGAGTAAGACCGGCTTCTGTACAGAGTAAGACCGACTTCTCTACACAGTGAGACCGGCTTCTGTACAGAGTGAGACCGACTTCTGTACAGAGTGAGACTGACTTCTGTACAGAGTGAGAACGGCTACTGTACAGAGTGAGACTGGCTTCTGTACAGAGTGAGACTGGCTTCTGTACAGAGTAAGACTGGCTTCTGTACAGAGTAAGACCGGCTTCTGTACAGAGTAAGACGGGCTACTGTACAGAGTGGGACTAGCTTCTGTACAGAGTTAGACCGGCTTATGTACAGAGTGAGACCGACTTCTGTACAGAGTGAGACTGACTTCTGTACAGAGTGAGACCGGCTACTGTACAGTGAGACTGGCTTCTGTACAGAGTGAGACCGGCTTTTGTACAGAGTAAGACCGGCTTCTGTACAGAGTAAGACCGGCTTCTGTACAGAGTAAGACCGGCTACTGTACAGAGTGGGACTAGCTTCTGTACAGAGTTAGACCGGCTTCTGTACAGCGTGAGACTGGCTTTTCTACAGAGTAAGACTGGCTTCTGTACAGAGTAAGATTGGCTTCTGTACAGAGTAAGACCGGCTACTGTACAGAGTGAGACTAGCTTTTGTACAGAGTAAGACTGGCTTCTGTACAGAGTGAGACTGGCTTCTGTACAGAGTAGGACCAGCTTCTGTACAGAGTGAGACTGGCTTCTGTACAGAGTGAGACCGGCTACTGTACAGAGTAAGACTGGCTTCTGTACAGAGTGAGACCGGCGACTGTACAGAGTAAGACCGGATACTGTACAGAGTAAGACCGGCTACTGTACACAGTGAGACCGGCTACTGTACAGAGTAAGACTGGCTTCTGTACAGAGTGAGACCGGCTACTATACAGAGTAAGACCGGATACTGTACAAAGTGAGACCGGCTGCTGTACAGAGTGAGACCGGCTACTGTACAGAGTAAGACTGGCTACTGTACAGAGTAAGAAGACCGGCTTTTGTACACAGTGAGACCGGCTTCTGTACAGAGTGAGACCGGCTTCTGTACAGAGTAAGACTGGCTACTGTACAGAGTAAGACTAGCTTCTTTACAGAGTAAGACTGGCTTCTGTACAGAGTAAGGCCGGCTTCTGTACAGAGTAAGACTGGCTTCTATACAGAGTGAGAACGGCTGCTTTACAGAGTGAGACTTGCTTCTGTATACAGTGATACATCTACTGTACATTGTGAGACCGGTTACTATGAAGAGTAAGAACAGCTACTGTACAGAGTAAGACTGGCTATTGTACACATTGAGAATGGCTATTGTACAGAGTAAGACTGGCTACTGTACAGAGTGAGACTGGCTTTTGTACAGAGTAAGACTGGCTTCTGTGCAGAGTAAGTTTGGCTTCTGTACAGAGTAAGACCGGCTTCTGTACAGAGTGAGACTGGCTTTTGTACAGAGTAAGACTGGCTTCTGTACAGAGTAAGACTGGCTTCTGTACAGAGTAGGACCAGCTTCTGTACAGAGTAAGACTGGCTTCTGTACAGAGAAAGACTGGCTTCTGTACAGAGTAAGACCGGCTTCTGTATAGAGTGAGACCGGCTACTGTACCGAGTAAGACTGGCTACTGTGCAGAGTGAGACTGGCTTCTGTACAGAGTGAGACCGGCTACTGTACAGAGTGAGACCGGCTACTGTACAGAGTGAGACTTGCTTTTGTACAGAGAAATACTGGCTACTGTACAGAGTGAGACCGGCTTCTGTACAGAGAGAGAACGGCTACTTTACAGAGTGAGGCTTGCTTCTGTACACAGTGATACATCTACTGTACATTGTGAGACCGGTTACTATGAAGAGTAAGAACAGCTACTGTACAGAGTAAGACTGACTTCTGTACAGAGTAAGACTGGCTTCCGTACAGAGAGAGAACGGCTACTTTACAGAGTGCGGCTTGCTTCTGTACAAAGTGATACATTTACTGTACATTGTGAGACCGGTTACTATGAAGAGTAAAAACAGCTACTTTACAGAGTAAGACCGGCTTCTGTACAGAGTAAGACTGGCTACTGTACAGAGAAAGACCGGCTTCTGTACAGAGAAAGACTGCTTTCTGTACAGAGTAACACTGGCTACTGTACAGAGTACGACCGGCTTCTGTACAGAGTAAGACTGGCTACTGTACAGAGAAAGACCGGCATCTGTACAGGGAAAGGCTGCTTTCTGTACAGAGTAAGACTGGCTACTGTACAGAGTAAGGCTGGCTTCTATACAGAGTAAGACCGGGTTCTGTATTCTGTTCTGCTATTGTACACAGAGAGATTGACTATTGTACAGTGTAAGACTGGCTACTGTACAAAGTAAGACCGGCTTCTGTACAGAGTAAGACTGGTTTCTGTACAGAGAAAGACTGGTTTCTGTGCAGAGTAAGACTGGATACAGTACATAGTAAGACTGGCTACTGTACAGAGTAAGACATACCAGTGATACCAGTTACTGTACACAGTGATACCAGTTACTGTACACAGTGATACCAGCTACTGTACACAGTGATACCAGCTCTTGTACACAGTGATACCAGCAATTGTACACAGTGATACCAGTTATTGTACACAGTGATACCAGCTACTGTACACAGTGATACCAGCTACTGTACACAGTGATACCAGCTACTGTACACCTTGATACCAGCTATTGTACACCTTGATAACAGCTACTGTACACAGTGATACCAGTTATTGTACACAGTGATACCATGTTCTGTACAAAGTGATACCAGCTACTGTACAAAGTGATACCAGCTACTGTACAAAGTGATACCAGCTACTGTACACAGTGATACCAGCTACTGTACAAAGTGATATCAGCTACTGTACACAGTGATACCAGCTACGGTACACAGTGATACCAGCTACTGTACACAGTGATACCAGGTACTGTACACAGTGATACCAGCTACTGTACAAAGTGATACCAGCTACGGTACACAGTGATACCAGCTACTGTACACAGTGATACCAGGTACTGTACACAGTCATACCAGCTAGTGTACAAAGTGATACCAGCTACTGTACACAGTGATACCAGCTATTGTACACCTTGATACCAGGTACTGTACAGTGGTACCAGGTACTGTACACAGTGATACCAGCTTCTGTACACCTTGATACCAGCTACTGTACACAGTGATACCAGCTACTGTACACATTGATACCAGCTAATGTACACAGTGATACCACCTACTGTACTCCATGATATCATGTACCGTACACAGTCATACCAGCTACTCTACACAGTGATACCAGCTACTGTACACAGTGATACCAGCTACTGTAATCCTTGATACCATCTACTGTACACAGTGATACCAGCTACTGTACACCTTGATACCAGCTACTGTACACATTGATACCAGATACTGTATACATTGATACCAGGTACTGTATACAGTGATACCAGCTACTCTACACGTTGATACCAGGTAGTGTACACAGTGATACCAGCTATTGTACACAGTGATAGCAGCTACTGTACACAATGATACAACCTACTGTACACAGTGATACCAGTTATTGTACACAGAGATACCAGCTATTGTACACAGTGATACCAGGTACTGTACACAGTGATACCAGCTATTGTACACAGTGATACCATCTGTTGTACACAGTTATACCACCTAGTGTACACAGTGATACCAGTTATTGTACACAGTGATATCAGCTACTGTACACAGTGATATCTGCTATTGTACACAGTGATACCAGCTACTGTACTGTGATACCAGCTACTGTATAGTGATACCAGCTACTGTACACAGTGAAACCAGCTTCTGTACACCTTGATACTAGTTACTGTACACATTGATACCAGCTACTGTACACAGTGATACCAGCAATTGTACACAGTGATACCAGGTATTGTACACAGTGATACCAGATACTGTACACAATGATACCAGCTACTGTACACAGTGATACCAGCTTCTGTACACCTTGATACCAGCTACTGTACACAGTGATACCATGTCCTGTACACAGTGATACCAGCAATTGTACACAGTGATACCAGCTATTGTACACAGTGATACCAGCTACTGTACACATTGATACCAAGTACTGTACACAGTGATACCAGCTACTGTACACAGTGATCCCAGGTTCTTTACACAGTGGTACCAGCAACTGTACACCTTGATACCAGCAATTGTACACAGTGATACCTGCTACTCTATACAGTGATACCAGCTATTGTACACAGTGATACCAGCTACTGTACACAGTGATACCAGCTACTGTAGACAGTGATACCAGTTACTGTACACAGTGATACCAGCTACTGTACACAGTGATACCAGCTACTATACACAGTGATACCAGTTATTGTACACAGTGATTACAGGTTCTGTACAAAGTGATACCAGGTACTGTACACAGTGAAACCAGCTATTGTACACAGTGACACCAGCTACTGTACATTGTGATACCAGCTACTGTACACAGTGATACCAGCTATTGTACACAGTAATACCAGGTACTGTACACAGTGATACCAGGTTCTGTACAAAGTGATACCAGCAATTGTACACAGTGATACCAGCTACTGTACAAAGTGATACCAGCTACTGTACACAGTGATACCAGATATTGTACACAGTAATACCAGGTACTGTACACAGTGATACCAGGTTCTGTACAAAGTGATACAAGCAATTGTACACAGTGATACCAGCTACTGTACATT